ATATATATACACACACACATATATATATACATATATAAGCATATATACATATACATATATATACACATATATATATTATAAAATGAGGAAAGTATTTATTCCATACATCCTAAGTTCCTTAACCTCTTCTACCCTAGTCAATTTCAGCTGCGCATTTATTTTTACATTACCAAGTTTGAAACATTCACATTGTGTTTTGTTAAAGTATCCAAATGCCTTATTACTAAAAGGTATTAAGTTTCAGGGATCCTTGAAAGTTTCTTAGTAGATGCAGACCTTGTGTTGTGAAAATGCATTGCTGTTTTCCAGGAAAATTTAGTGTATCTTAATAATCCTTATTAAATTAACTAGCATGAAAATACTTTTAATAAAAATTACAAAATATTAAGCAAAATATCCTAATACTACTGGCCTGAAAGACTTAATTATTTGTAGATAGCCCACATATATTTTTGGCAGGATGTTATTTAAAGTCCAATACACTTTTTTTCCTTCTAAAAGTGTATATACTTTTTTATCTAAGTATGAAATTTATTTGTGTGACAGTTACTTGGGGATTTTGGTATCTATGCAGACTGTTTTTGTTCTTGTTTTTACATTGCAAATTTAAAAAGAAGAAGGTATATTTTAAGTAACTACAAAATGCAATAGTTTATTTTTATATAGCTCTGTGTAAAATACCTTTTAATCCTATTTCAATGAATCTTTCAGATTGTTATTAAGAAGAGAGAACCATTAAATTTTGGCATTCCAGATGGTAGCACAGGTTTCTCCAGTAGATTAGCAGCCACACAAGATATGCCTTTCATTCATCAGTCTGTGAGTATATTAACGGGATATGGGTAATAAATTTTTTAATTTTTTTAAAAGATAAGGCAAAAACTAAATGAATTAAATAGTTACATTTCTGTAACTTTGAAACATGTTTAACGGTTTGCAGGAAGTCAACCTGGAATTGTATCTTGACATTTTCTGAGTTTATGAATTACATAAGATACCAAGATCAGGGATCCATTGTACACAGGAAAGATAGAGTCAAAATGTGCTATCTAAAAAGTAAGAACTTGAAAAGATCAGCCCTGGAATGACTAACTTTAATAGCAAGTTAGAATGTGTTGTTGTTGTTTGGTTTTCTGTTTGTTTTGTTTTTGAATACTTGTGGCGGTCCAGCCGTCACAACACGAACATGCCTGAGTCGGGGAGTGAGGATTGAGAAAGGAAAGAACACTCAAGCCTGAGGGGAGACGAAGAGAAGTCTGATTTATTTCACAGAAACAGCTCCTTTTATAGGTTCACATCAACAGGAAGCACCAAGCAACTATTTGTATCTTTTATGCAAAGACGGGATTTTCTGACTCTTTGCAAAGAACATCAGATCCATGGCTGTCTCTTTGAGTTTCTTCATTGCAGCAACAAGTTTAACAAGCAGAGTCCTAGAATGTTACAGATTGCATCAATGCCTTGAGTGTAGAGGTGAAGAAGTTTCCTTTTAAATGTCAAACTCCTAGAGGGCCATGGCCGGGCTCCCACAAATACTAGAAATCAGAACCTGTGGGGCCCTGTGCCTGCTAGGCAAGCACTGTGTCACTGGGCTACATCTTCAGCCCAGCAGCATGTTAGCTTTGAGTTATATTTTTGTTTCTCTCATAGAGTATTTTTACATTTAAAGAATGAATTGATTTAAAATGTATTTGACTTAAAATGAAATTTTTAAAGCTTAAAAAGTAGTGATCAAAGTAGACTGAGGTTCTCAACCTTAGGGACACAGCAACATCAATTTCAGAGGTTTGTTTTTAAATAAACACCACTGGGTGTGTTGGCACAGGCATGTAATCCTGCACTGTGGGAGGCTGAGGCAAGAGAATCACAAGATTAAGCCCAGCCTGCACAACCTAGCAACTTAGTGTGATCCTATCTCAAAATAAAAAGTAGAACTAGAATATGGTGCTAGGAAGGTAGCTCAGTACTATATAAGGCTCTGGCTTTCATTGCCAGTACTAAAATACCAGACAAATCCAAAAACCCCCACCAATGCCTAGACTGCTCCTCAGATCTAAGCTTAAGCAGACTTTGATTGATTAATTTTATTATTTATCTGTTGTGTAAAAACCCAGAATTTAGTGACTCAAAACATAATAAACATTTGTTGCCTCACAATTTCTGTCTGGAATACAGGGCCACTAAATTGGATGGTTCTGCCTCAGGCTGTCCAATGAGTATGCGTCATTGGGCTGGGGCTGTGGGCTTGACTCACGTTGGAGGGGTCCTTTCACAGTTGACTCACTCACATGGCTGGCGGATTAATGCTGATCATTGGCATGAAGCCTCTGCTCCTTGGCCTGGACCTCTCCGTGGGATGGATTGAATCCCCATATGGCATAACCACTGACCTTCCCAAAACAAGGGACCAGAAGAGAGCAAGCTAGGTCATGAGATAGATGACACCACAGAGCGTTCTGATGGCCCTGTCTTTGTTCATTAGAAGCCAGGCGCTAAGTCCAGCCCACATAAAGGGAGATGAATTAAGCTGGGCCTTTTAAAGGAAGGAAAGTCAAGGAGTTTGGCAACATATTTTTAAATCACTCCATTTATCTGTCCTCCTATGAATCTTATTTATGTTTTTAAACTACACAAGAGCTGAGGCCATATTCTGAATTCATTGCTCAACAGCTGTTCCCAGTAATGCAGTCCTATGCTAGGTGCTGGTAATACAGAGCTAAATAAGCAGAGGCAGGGTTCTTACCTCAGAAGAATCCATTCTGCTGGGGGAGGCGTCATACTGAATAAATGATCATACACCTAGTTATAAACTTTAATAACTGCTGTGCAGTTACATGGTATTGTGAAAGCATAGTAACACTAGATATTTCTCTGAAAAATATAACATCATAATAGTTAATTTTTTCTTTTATATTTCTCAATTTTAAACTTTATTCATGTGCATTTGATTAATAGCAATAAAGTGGTTCAGTTCTGCCTGTAGAATTAGTAATGCTTAACTCCAAACTGAAATTACGTTATTGTAATTATAATATTGCTCACTATGCAGCTGTCACTGTTCAGCCACTTACAGAGTTGGGAAAGGTAGAGAGAGTAGATGGAGTGTCCATCTAAAAACAGTGCTATTTTTACCTAATTTCCACCAAGCAGACAATGCTGAGAGGGGCTTTGATCGCTTACGAGAGAATGGAGAATGGTAATCAACTGGACTTCCTTCTCCGTACGAGATGTACCTTATCATTGTTTCTACAGTCAGATCCTTTTTTGTGAAACCGAACATTCTATTTTTTTTATACTAGTAATATTAAATTTTTCTGTCATCTTTCATGTTTTTCAGTTTGTTCTTGGCCTTATATTGGCTTTGCTTTTTTTTTTTTGGTACTAGGAGTCGAACTCAGGGCTTTGCACTTGTGAGGCAGGCACAGCACCTCTGAGCTAAATCCCTGGCCTCTGTGTTATCCTTTTTGCTTAGCAGCACATCTCTACTACAGATGTCACCCTTTTTAATGGTCTTAGTAGTTTTACTTTTTTTATATCGAAATCTTTTATGTATATAACAACCAAACACCTGAGTGGAAAAATGGGTAACTCTTATAAACGGAAAATTTGCAAATGAGAATTACACAACCTAATAACATGAAGAAAACTGTAATCTTGTTACTTCTTAAAGAAATTCAAATTATGTCTGAGCAAATTAGTAAAGATAAAAATCAAGGCCAATAGCAGTAATGACAAAGGTACAGAGAAGAGTTGTACCATTTTGACAGGAGTATAAAGTGTTACAGCATATCGCATCATTTTATGCTTTGTTTCCATTGCTTTCATAGTGCGCCTTTTCTTTGAGTTACCGACTTTTAGAAATATAATAGTAAAGATTATCAGAAATAGTTTTTAACAGAGGCTAGTATTACATATATAGTTAGAGGAAGAAAATTCAAAACATTGATATGTAGGGCTAAGTACTCAAAACAGTATCTGTTCAGTCATTTTACACGTTACCACTTTCACACCTAACCAAACATCCTAAAATGACCATTTTCACTGGTTCTTGGAAGAGAAAAAATGAACATTTAGAGATTTAGCCTGAGAAATCGTGAAAGGTGTTGACAACTGATGATCAGCTTTGTGGGATAGGGGAAAGGAAGCATGAAGTAGAAGTAGCAGCCCAACGAAGGCAAGTTTTACCTGACTTAGCATTGTGGCCTAGAGTGGAGATAGGAAGTGCCACTAAAAACAACACGTTACGTACACTAAAGGGAGATGGCGGTGCTAGCTTGGAAAGTCTCAGTCCACATTAGTTCGGTCAAGCATTTCTAATTAGGTCTGGGATCAGTCAGTCTCGTCTCTCCTCTCCTCTGTCCCTTTTCTCTTTTGAAAGGAGAAACAGGAAAAAAAAAATTCTGTTCTTGTCTCTTCAAACTAACAAAGCAGCAGTAGAAAACTAAACATAAAAGAGTAGCCCATGAAGTGTAAGAAGAAAGGTGGTCTTGCCCGGGACTGTTAACACGGAAAGTCATGCATTACTAGGAAATGCGCAGTTCCAGGCAAACCAGGAGCCAAATCATTTTTGCCTTAGAGGATGTGGCAGGGAAGCTGAGAAACTGGAGGACAGCGTTGGGTTCTCAGTTCCGTTTTTAAAGATATTCTTGACTGCTATATGAAGAAAGGAGGGTGCTACTGTCTTACCTTTGCTTTATTTCTCCTCATAGTCGGAATTAGGTGACTTGGATACCTGGCAAGAAAATACCAATGCGTGGGAAGAAGAAGAAGATGCAGCCTGGCAAGCAGAAGAAGTTCTGAGGTATTTGAGTGATGTTTACATTATAACCTGACGAGAAGAACTGGATTTGTTTTGTTGGAGCTTAAGGTCAAGGAAGCCAGTTACGCCAAACGTTCTTTCTTCTTTGTCGGGTGGTAGATCCTCGTATCCGTAGATAGTACATACTTGTGTTTCTCAGACTGCATATGCCATTTTATGTGACTAAGAATAAAGCATTGTAGAAATAGAACATAACAATAACTTCATTGATGGTGTGCAAAATCCTTTACACATACACCATACTGCCGTCATGATACATCCTCCCATGAAAGGAAGCCACCACTATACTGTGCATTCTTCTAGGTCAGAAGTTAAAACTTTGTTTTCATTTTCTTGTTGCCCAGCACTGCACATTTGAGTGAAAATTAATGTAGCATTTTACAACTGGGCATACATCTTAATTGATGTGTAGGAAATCCCTACAAAGCACATAAGTCATAAGCTACAGGAAGGTAAACATTATTGTACGGGTTTTAAAGTTCATTTTTGTTAATGGTTTCTTTGTTTTTGTGAGCAGTAAACTCAGTTCTTGCTACCTGTACATTGTCAGTAAAGAGAAAATTTATCTTGAGCTTGTAACTATGATTGTTGATGAAAACTCATATTTAAATGTCTGTTATTTATGCATTTTTAAAAAGTATATAGTAAAATGCAGTGATAAGATTTTTTTTTGTATTTTAGAAGTACAGACATTTTTACTATAGAAATAGAAAATGAAGGGCTGGTGATTTAGCTCAGTGGTCCTGAATTTGATCCCTGGTGCCAAAAAAAAGAAAGAAAGAGGAAAGAAGGAAGGAAGGAAGGAAGGAAGGAGGGAAGGAGGGAAGGAGGGAAGGAGGGAGGGAAGGAGGGAAGGAAGGAAGGAAGGAAGGAAGGAAGGAAGGAAGGAAGGAAGGAAGGAAGGAAGGAAAGAAAGAAAACTTTCTGGTCCTTGTTGGTAAATATCAGTTGTTTTTAACAGCCAGCAGACGGTGCAGTTAAGTAGCTGGCAAATATGGATGATTTTTAAAAACATTTTATCTTGTTGCCAGCATGTGTGTTTTTTGTTTTGTTTTGAAAGTCAGTAGAGTTATGAAAATTTTTAATATTTTGTTCCTGTTAAAAATTGGGTACTACAGGGCTGGGGATTTAACTTAGTGGTTCTGCCGCCTGCCTTGAAAGCGCAAGGTCCCAAGTTCGATCCCCGGTACCAAAAGCAAAATTGTGTATTACAACATGTATACTCAAGGAGCATCAAAAAAAGACACATTCTTTCAAAAATCATAGATACAGAAGTCAGTGTTTTTTAGAAAATTTGGGGCATTCTAGTGATTATTAGCGTCATTAATCTCAAGGATAAAGGCAAGAAAGAGATGTTCATTTTAATGATATCTTAATGTTCATCTTAGTCCGTGAGCTCTCAAATATTTTAACATTGAGTGCACCAAAACCTCTTCTGTCCTATTCTTTTGTTCCTTAACAAAACAAACATGATAAAAAAATTACATTAAATCATCTTGAGAGTGTGAGACTGTTCATCAACAGCAGATGTACTTTGTGCTACACAAGTACAGGCGAAGGGCTATGGAAGCCTCCATGTTGTTACTGCACCGGGCAATGTTAAAGTACATCCATGTTCGTGTCATCTTGAGTCTTCCAGTAGCCTTTGTGAAATACTCCAGTACTATCATTAGTTGTTTTGTTTTGTTTTGTTTTGGTACCGGGATTGAACTTGGGTCCTTGCACTTGCAAGGCAGGCCACCAAACTGCTGAGCTAAATCCCCGGCCCCTAGTATTTTTAAAGTAAGAATACTCTGGTACTTTAGCAGTTGCAGGCATGAACCTGGACAGTACATATATATTGTCTTTAGAGAAATCCAGATTTCTTCTTGTGCCAGGAGCAGCAGTTGTTGATGTTTATATTTCAGCTAATAACCACGTCAAAGCTTGGTTACCTTGTTTACAACTGTGCCAGTCTTATAGTTCTTTTTTTTGTCTCCTTTTGTGCTGCTCGGGTTTTAGTTTTCATCCGTTTTTCTTGAAAATGCGCAAAGCTAGTTGAAAAGTAGATTTGCTTTTGTTCTTTAGAAACTTAGAGAATTGATGGCGAAGGTCAAAACGGTGCCCAAAATAAGTTTTTGGACTTTTCTTAAATTTTGGTTATCTATAGCTGATTATTACTCTTTTATATTGTTGTTGAGAGCCATTGCTCTTCATAGTCAGCTTTAATTTGTACACATACTCCCATGTATAGTAACATTTTACTGGATGTAACCTCGTACTGCCAGTCACATTCCCAGTTGTGACCTACTTCTTCCTTCCTCAACCTTGAATATTTCTTGAGTTATTTTCTCACACCCTAACCCTTCAAATTTAGGACAAATGTGTGTTCCCCCTCCTCTCTCCTGTTTCATCTCTCCACTCCCGTCTCCACTCGTAGTCATTAAGAATAGAGAGGTTCTGTGATTCAGGACTGGTGGAGTCACCATAGGATTTAAGATGGAGACGATGTATACATGACATGGAATTATAAATACCCACCATTCGTATCTTTAGTAGGTCTGGTCAAGTAGATTTCTTGCTTGTAGGTGGAAGGTATGTCTTAAGTGTCCATTTTCTTTTGGAGTGTCTTACACACAACTGTATTCTTAGCATCCTTTAGCTAATTATTTTAACTGTTTTAGTAGGAAATTTAATCCTCAGATACCAGGCCTTTAAGAATGGTATCCCCTCCCTCAAAGATAAAGCTATGGTGAGTAGAAGTAATTTTTAAGAGGAAATAACACAAAGAAAAAGGTAAAATGATGTGGGTTCTTATCTCCTGTACTTAATCCTGTGATTTTGGGAAAATCACATAGCTTTTATATCTCATTTCATGTATTTGTGAAGTAGAGATAAAACCTCTGTTTGGCAGGTTAAGGTCTAAGAATTAGCAGGAATGCTGTTTTTGGGAAGTCTTTGAAATTTTCAAACTAGTGAGAAGATTTAAGACATTAAATATTTACTTCAGGATAATAAAAAGTCATTATTATTTCTTCCTAGGACTTTTTCACCATTTTACTTGTCATTGCTATTTTCTGAAAGATAATGAGTGTGTTTCTTTTCAGGCAACAGAAAATAGCAGACAGAGAAAAGAGAGCAGCAGAGCAACAAAGGAAGAAAATGGAAAAGGAAGCACAGAGGCTAATGAAGAAGGAACAGAACAAGATCGGTGTGAAACTTTCATAACAAATGTGCTTCAAACATCCTAGGGCCAGGAGGAGAGATCTGAGCTCCACACGCCAGAGAGCATTTGTATGGATTTAAGCGTATTTTCCGGATACAGACACACTGCTTGATTTCAGTGCATTCATCAGGCCATCCAGGACCCAAGGATTCTCCCAAAGTTCCTGGAACTCTCAGTGATGGAGGCTCAAAGGAAATAGTCAAAAGACTTTTGAGGCATTATTTTTCTCAACATCCTCCAAAAATAAGACAATTGATTGCTGTCGAGATATTATTACAAATGGAATATACTGGTACCTCTCAAGCTAGTGTTTCTAGCTAAATAAATGGGTATAATTTCATAGTGGAAAAATTCTGCTGTCATGCTTTCCTTCAATGTGCATAATTATAAAATAAATAATTTTAATATCCTTTTGTTTTGATGTTACCTGACCTAAATTAGACAATTTATAGGTAGGGCTTTCACTTTTTTATTTTTGTTATCAGAAGCTGGTGTTGGCATACATTTTCCCTAATCTGAACTGGCCTTGTTTGTTTGATATGTTAAAGAATTTGATTTTGGCTTTTCGAGAAAATAATATTAAATGCAATAATATTATTTATCATACATATTTTTCACATCATTTTCTTTTGAATGGTGTACTAGTATACATAGTTGTAATTTATATTGCATGTATAAACACTGAAATCAGCTAAAATGACAAATTTGTATTGTTATAACTTGTGAGTTTTAAGAACCAGTATGAGTAGGCTTTCCCTTTCATGATAGATTTTAAGATGTTATGGTATCTTCAAGTACCTTAGATCTTCCTCCCCCTCAAAAGCCATGAATTTACAAATGCAGAAAGCCTTCAGTTCTGATATTTCAAAGCTTTTGAATGATTTCTATATTGGTTTTATATGTCTGACATAATACAGGTTACCTGTGTTGTTGCTGAAGATAACATTACTTCATTAAATTATAAAGAAAGAGAAATAATATTTTATTTATGATGTTCAATGGCTTGCCTTAGAGAGATATTTCAATACTCTGTTCATGGTGGGGGGGGTAAAGAACAGTTTTAATAGTTGAAAATCACATTAAATTTTTCTCCACAAACTATATTAAGCCTGATTTTCCATGGTTGCAGAATTTTTAAAGATTTTTACTTCATTAAGAGTTACTGTGTAGAATTAACGTTTCGTGTGGTTTTAAAATATTATAGACACTCTATAGGACAAACATTGCTAATGAGCCCCCAACACTAAACTATATCCCTAGCTGGTCCTTATTTTTTGTTTTGAAAGTGTCTCACTAAGTTGACCAGCCTGGCCTCCAACTTACGATCTTCCTGCTTAGATACCCTTTACAAGCATGTGCCACCACACCTGGCTAATATATTTAATTATTAAAGTGATATTAGGTATTAAATTCATTAACTATAAGTGAGAGGTTCCTAAATCCTTGGGATGAACTTCTGGACTGACTGTGATTGTATGGTCTGTCAGTTGATCTACTTTAGTGGAAAGCTCGTTAACCCTCCAAACCACATTTTCTTTTGCCACATTCAGTAGACTTCTTTCAGTAAACTGTCCGTTAAATTAGAGGGACTCAAAATTTTAGTAATTTATTTTCTTCCCCTCTTTGTATTTGATAATTTTAGTATGGGGATATTACATGATTTCTCTTAAACTTGCTTATTATAGAGGATAACCTCTTTTAGTACAATTACTTTTATTGCTTTCCCCAATATTTGAAAAGTGTTGGTTTGTTTTGATCATGACTTTCATGTGTGCAAGGTGTTGTTCGACTATTTGTGTTTTGATAATTTAAAGAATGTTTAGAAGGTATAGTTTGATGAATCAGGAACAAATATATTGTGGAAAAAATAGATAACAATTCTAGAATTTGTACCTATGTTGATATATAAACAATTCCCATATTAAATTGGATACATTGTGGTCAGAAGAGAAGTCATTGAGGTAAATGCATAGGATATATGCTTCATGGTCGCAAACTATTTAACTCCTAAGTTTATGGTTTCTATTTTTTTTCTTTTGATTTTAATAACAACTTCAAGTTTTAGAAGTTTATTAGAAGTAAAGGAGAAATATGGATTAGTTTAAGTAGAGCTGGTGAAGTTGTATGCAGTATGTGAATTGTGTATTTGAGATAAGTATTCATAGACGTGAAACTTACTTCATGTTCTTTATAGAGACGTTTCATGGTCACCAGCCATTGCCTTGTATTAAGCTTTACCTAGAAGTATCCCTCTCCAGCTTGTTTTGATTGCATTTTAGTCTAACTGTGAAACTGCATCTGCATTCCTTCGTTTTGATATGCAGTTGCCTCTGAGCAGAAAAGTGTTTGCTCCTGGATGAAGACTGGTGATTGGAAAGAAGATGATAACAAAACTGGCATCTGGATTGAGCCTCCAACAGCGCTGTGAATCAAGCTACTGCCATTGGGTAAACCCAGCCATAGCCAATGTTCTAAAAACTGCTCTTCTGTTAATAGTGTTGTTTACTACATGAGATCTGGGCCAGAGCTAGCTTGCATAATTATCTTGTTTTACTCCATGAAGTTCAAATTTGGGATAGTTTTTGCAATGATTTTGATGCCTTTCAGCCCCTTGATCGAAGATAGTCTTGCAGTGGGTGTGGAAGTTGACAGAACAGTTACTAGTGAATGGTTGTGGGAAGCGGGAGAGAGAGCTCTGGCCTGCAGACTGTTCCGGAAAGCTTCCGCCCTTGCTTTCAGCTCAGTCAGAGCTGGATGATCCCATGCGGTCATAGTGGGTCCATGAAGAGCATATTTTAGTTGCTAATGCATGGTATGGTTGAAAACTACAGCAAATGTTTGAATTAAAAAATTCTTACAGTAAAAGACATATTAATCATTAATCTCTCTCATGTACTCCCCCACTTTGGACACAATCATCCCATCCTTCTTGTCACTTTCTGAAGCAGGTGTTGAAGTTCTCTTTTGAGAGTGTGTAGTTGCCCTGTCATGGCTGCCTCATTGTACTAGACTGATTCAAAATGTTTGTTTACCTTTTGTAGACATTTTGACTTTAGGGAAGAGCCAGAAGTCACAGAGTGCCAGGGGAGGACACACCATAATGTTCCTGTAAACCTGCCTTTCCACTGGGTGTCCATGGCAGCAGTGCCTTGTAAAGAACTGCTTCAGAAAGGCGCAAAAATAATGGGATGCTTTTGAAGTAAGGGGGAACATTTGAGGGCGATTAATGGCAGTGTCATACCATAATAAAATTTTTAAAAATTACAAAAATTTACTATATATTTTGATGAAGTCTTGCAACTTCACCTTATATCTGCTATTCACCTAGTTTGTTGTTGTTTTTTTTATTCAGGTGCTCTATGCTAGTACAAAGAAAACTCTTTACTGTGTGGTTTGCTTTTCTCTAACATTGACCACAGTTGTAATAATAGCTAGAGATTCCTTTTGTATTAACCTGCTTTTTTATTTTTGATTTATTTTATTTATTTTTTCGCTTCCTGCTTTTTATTTTGAGCACCGCTTAGTCATGCCAATTAGACATGCTTAGTAAGTACTACATTTTGGAGAGCTGGAAAGTTGCTTTTTCACCAAAAGTCTCAATTTTCTAGGCTAGAAAGAGACACTGATCTAGGAAAATTTTCCTCTTCTCTTTCCTCCCTCAGGCTACAAATGTCTGTGTTCTGCACTTGTTTTGCCTACATACTGCTAATCCTACTAATTCACAGTCAGCAGCTTTTGCAGGGAATCTTTCAGTGAAAGTCTGGCCAATCCAAAATAATCTCAGCCTTCTCTTTCAGGGGACTTCTGTGGCTATTTTTGAAAGGTTTTTTTTCAGCTTTAATTGAGTTTATTGGTACATTTTAGGGATACAGTACAGTTACATTCATTGTTGGGATCTTGCACATCTACATGACAAGTCTTGATTCTCATTTTTTCCCCTTACCTCTGCCCTCCCTTCACCCCCTCCTCCCCTCCCCATCTACAAACACTTTATTTTCATCTTTTTATTCTCTCACATTTTTTCCTTTTCCCTTTTTACTCTTCCCCTACCTATCCCACCTTCCCTACACCTTTAGCTCCTTTCTTCCCATTTCTAAATGTCAGTAATCTTATTAGAATCTTATGCATTGTTGCAGATTATTTACACCAGGGAAACTATTCGGTATTTACACACGTGTGACTTACTTATTTCACTTAGGAGTATATCTTCAATATGTATCCATTTTCCTATGAGTGAATCTATTTTCTCATTCTTTATGGCTAAGTAATATTCCATTTTATAGAAAAACCACAACCTCTTTATCCAGTTTCCAGCGGATGGGCAAATAGGCTGTTTCAAAATTTAGCTATTACAAACTGTGCCACTATAAACATGGGTGCACATACTTCTCTGTGATATGATTCTTTTAGTTCTCTTGGAAAGATACCCAGCAGAGGGATGGCTGGGTCAAATGGAACCTCCAGTCCAAGCTCTTTGAGGTATCTCCATATTGATTTCCATAGTGGTTGCACTAGTCTGCACTCCCACCAACAATGGAG